TAAGCATTTTATCGGCCTTTGGTTCAGCCATAAGTACATTAATCAGTACCATAGTAGCTGGTGGTAGAGCTGTTAGAACTCCTACACCTGAACCAACACCAACACCAAAACCCACGCCTAAACCAACACTAACGCCAACACAAAACCAAGCATAACCGATTGGATCAAACGTCAATTGAAAAATTTGGCAAACGTGTTGAAGAAACTTGGTTTGAAAGCTTTTGGGGCATTACCCGGTATAATTGGCGGCGTGTTGAGTTGGATTTTAAACGTGGCGAGCAAGGCAGTCGGATGGATCGCCGATCACGTTTGGACTTTGATTTTAACTTTTATACAAAAACATAAGTTAATAAAATCTTGAACCAAAAAAATAAACCCCTCCTAAAATTTGAGAAGGGGTTATTTTCATGCCAAAATTTATTCTAATTCATTACTTTATACAACATGAAACCGAGATCAGCAATACAATAATTCCAACAGTTTTTCGGGATAAAGTCCCACCAAGCCAACGTAACGGCGTCCGACTGCGCGACCCAAGTCACTGTATATGTACTAGCGTGACCCGAGCCTTTGGTTGGATCGGCCCAACCAAAACCCATAAAAGTGGACCCCGCATATTTGCCGTCGGGTACGTGTAAGTCGTGTGGATCGTAATTTTTGCCTAGGACAGGTATGCATCCATTATCGTAATAATAAGCAGTACCCAATCCGTTGTTATCGTATCCCTGGTTTGTTTAAACGATTTATTCGGATCGACGTTGTATAGTCTACAAGTGTCTATAAACTCGCGGTGGTCGTAACTGTTGTGCCATGCGTCAAATATGTCCTCACTAGGAATGAGCATCACGCAGTCGTAGCAAATTTTTCTCACTATGTAATATACGAGAAAAATAAACAGCGCATATACGTATAAATTTGGCGAAGACAATAGGTAAAAACCTACTCCGCAAGCTGTCGTCGTGCAATGGACCGCGAAATTAAATTGGTTTTGGTAAAACGATATGGGGTCGGTTGCCCAATGGTTTACCGCTTCGCCGTTTTCACTTGGGGTAATTCGTACTGACGCGTTAAATTGGGAAACTCGACTATAAATGAATTGCTTTTATTTACCAAGATCTCCAAATGACTAAAGTTGTGCCCCATCTTTTAAAATATAAACTTTTAAAAAGGCGACGCGGTTCTGTAAGCTGGAGGTGGTTCATCATACTTTACCGACTTTGTTAAACTTTATTCGCCAAGTTTTTTCATAAGGTCTTTTTTAACATCAGCAGCCCGTTCATTGGCGAGCGCTTCTGCCTTTACTCGGTCAAATTCTGCCTTGTCCATTATGACCTCTTGTAATTTTGTACTTGTCTTGAATCTTAACTTTTCTTTCATCTCGTTAAATTTCTTAAGTTCAGACAAAATCAAAACAAATTCTTCTTGGGAAATATCACCGTCTTTGATAGCGTGAGAAACGTATTCCTTGATGGTATTTAGCTTGGCGTCGCAAGGCTCGCGAACTTGGTCTTGTTTTTTGGTTTTTTGAGCGAGTCTACGACTGGCGTATTTCAATACCGCGATGCCTTCCATTACAAGCCCGATGGGGGCTGACACGCTGCCTAATAGCGCTGGGATTCCAACTGTGCCCGATGTTGCACCCAATACTTTGACTCCATATTCCACATAACCGATCGCCGTCAATATTCGTTTAATCTTTTTGTAACTAGTCTCGTGCGCGTCACGTTCTCTTTGAATTCGTGATTTAAATTCTTCGATCTTTCTTAGCCTGTAGATTTTCGTTTCTGCCTGTTCGGCCGAGTTTAATTCCAGCCAGGGGTAAATGTTTGACTCGATGTTTAATGCCATCTTTTTATTATACGATTTTTAAAAATGTCTAGTTCGAGTAACATTTTACCATCTTTATTATTAATAATTTCTCCTCGTTTGTTTCTCAACGAAAATTCAAAACTTGTTATATTGTCGTTTACTAGTAAATTAACGCTTTCGCTCTCTGACGCAGTGCACAACAAGTACGAAGACCGGCCGTTTAAGTAACTAAAATGGTTGTTTATTTTTTCGACAGTGTATCCAAAGTCCTTCAAAAGGATCAGTATTTATTTTACCCTTATAAATAACGTTTGGAACTATCCTACCTCTCGGCAAATTTAACAGCCTGCCAACTTCTTTACCCAACCTTAGTCTGAGATTTAAATCTGTAATCATTATCTAAGTTTGACTTTTCGTGAACTTTAAAATTAACACCCGGAATGGCGTTTTAAATAAAATCAAACCAAATCCACGTTGTAAAACCCGGGAGGAATAACGACGTTTCCCTGAGATCCGCCTTGTAAAAAATCTGCGGGCGTTTCTCTTTTGTGCAAACGATGCATCACCGGAGCGTTAGAACCAGAAGCCTTAATAAAAGAGTGGGTTTGTCTGGTATGGCGCTTCTGATGGTTCTCGTTCTTTCTTCGTTGTCGTCGCCTAAAAATCCTTCTTTAATAAATTCTAAAGCGACGCAACGGGCTTCTGTGTATGTTTCAATTTGTCCTTGTGCTAAAAGTATAACAAAAATTAGTGTGCCATCTTTCTTTTTATGCAACGGACCGGGTGATGTTTCTCTTATATTCCGACGTTGACCGCTTAACATTTGTATTTGATTGTTGAGGTTAGTAATTTTTTGCATAATTAAGGCGTTGAATTTTTCTAAATTTCCCTCTTCATAAGCTCGAAGGTAATCTTGTATTACGTCATAAAATAAATCTAGAGTTTCTTTCTCTAATTCTTCAAACGGTATTTTGAGTTCAAGCTTTTCTATAACGTCCTTGTTAATTGTTTCAGCTCCACTTGGTCTTTCTTCGGGTGGTTGTGGGTCACTAATAGGTCTTGTTGCTTTGGGTCTCCTTTCTGCGGGACTTCCTTCGACTTGAGCTTGCCATTCAATTTTGGTAGATTTTGTAATGTTAAAATATACCGGTTTAAAGCGTACTTTTCTGACTTTAATCTTTTTATCGCCTTGCAAATTATCAATGACATTTTCCAATTTAAACGTCTGTAGATTTTCGGTCAAATAAAAAGTATACGTTTCCATTTTATTATACCATTTTAAATTTATTTACGGCATCGTTAAAGTGCTTGTCCGGAAACAGACTTTTGATTTCATCTTTTGAGACTAGCATTACGTCTTGATAGCACACTGCCGTCAATGCTTTGAGTGGTTGCCCTCTAGAAATTTTGCCCAATAAAATTTGGTTTAATTTGCATTCTATGAGCCCCGCTTGTTCTTTAGTTAACTGAATATTTAGTTGTTTAAATATTTGTTCGGTTTTTTATTTGGGCTTATTATAAACAAAACGCTGATTATATTTGCTGCCTACGTTTTCCACTTCAAAATCTGAATGAGGAGCTAATATCAAAAACAGTCGGGACAATAGATAAATTCATCATCTTTTATTGTTGTGTGGACATGTGTCTTTTGGTGACGGTGGTCTAAAAACTTTTATACCAGTTAATTCATAAATCTCTTGGTTCGTCATTGTTTTATAGATACTAATAAAATATAATTCTGCATTTATTTATTGTTCCCGCGCTTGCGACATAAGAGGTTGTGGGAAAACTATTCCACCCTTTCTACGATTGGTTGGAAAAGTCCCGCGCGAGTTATTGGCCAGTTGGTGGTTGGGGTCAAAGGTAACTAGGTAGGTCAAAGGCCACGTGGTGTTTGGAGTCAAATGTCACGTCGTGGTTGGGGAAGCCTTCGCGTGAGTGTGGGCCAGTTGGTGGTTCAGAGGTCAAAGGTAACGTGGAAGGCCAAAGGTTTGAGATTTTAGTTTTTTGGAAAATCTGTAGGTACCCAAGGGGTTGAGATTTTTAGTCTTTTTGTAAAATATGCTACGGTTTTTAAAGATTTTTTAGTTTTTGAAAAATCTGTTGTATAGGTACCCAGGGGGTGAGATTTTTTGGATTTGAGATTTTTAGTTTTTGAAAAATCTGTTGTATAGGTACCCAGGGGAGTTAGGGGCTGGTCTTGAACACACCGTTTCATTACCACTGTTGGCAGCAATGCTGGAAGCATACAAGATTGCCTTAGCGGGCACAGTTTTGGCCATTTCATATACGTAAGACGAGAGTGGAGTTTCTTCTTTGCTTTCAAAGACTAGTACACTATTATTACGGGTTAATGTCTGGAATGAGCGGGTATTATTATGCCAGGTAGCACTATTGTTGTCTCTTGCGGTGTGCGTGGTCGTCTTCTCCCCACGACCTGCCATGATGCGTTGGTCTGTGTGGGATTGACTGAACGCAACGCAACGATTGCCAACCCAAAAAACAGTCTTCAAAGGTTACAAAATCACTTTAAAAATGTCCACTTGAATCAACAGGTCAAATGATATACACCAGTATAATTACGACTTAAGAATAGGACCTGTAAACGTCACACATACGCTTAATATACAGAGCCTGAAAACACAAGCACACCACCAGAAAGAAAGAAAGTAACATACATACATACATACTTATATAGTTCTATAAATCCCGAATTTGCGACTGCTAGTGTCCAGTTCAGGGTATTTCTTTCACAAAAAGCCCCCGTTGCGGACCTATTTTGGATAGACGCGGGAGGCTATATTCAGAAATGAGCGCTTACTTTTCTTTTGGGGTATCTTCCTTCAAAGGCGAAAAAAAAATCGTGGCTAACGAAATTGGCTTATGAAATTGAAACGGAAAAATGATCTTCAGGCCATAATCTTGAATTTCCAGTGAAAAAACGGAGGCCAACCTCTTCAAGAGAGTCAACAGGCGGCGCTATTTCGGTCCGATTTTGCATTGTTTTCTATGGACGCGTATTTGGTGTGGTGCAACCGTAAGGGGGCGAATGTGTCCACGCTTTTGGACTTAGTCGGGTGCCGTCTCGGCTACTGTACCCCGCCGTTGTTTTGAATAGGAGCTGCGCGCTGCCATGCCCGTGCCGTTTGTATGTTTATGTCTGTAAATTTACATGTATGTCCGTGCGCTGAGTGCACCGCAGCCACGGCAGTGTATGCAGTCTTGTCGCATCGCGTGGTGGTGAATGGCCATGATCGTGGAAATGTGAGTGTACTTGGACAATACGTTGTATATTGAATGAAATGCGTCAGTGAGCTGGCGTTGCAGGTAGGCTGAAGGTACGAAAGAACTTTAAATTAATATTGAAGTGTTTCTTACCTGGGAATTTGTGTGGACTAAGTGTTTTGACCATCTAAATTGCTCTTTTTGGTGGAACATGGATAATTAAAAGCTGGCAATTTGTGGTACTGAAGTGGTAGCCCAGCTTAGATTACTCATGGAGGAAGGACACAAACTCCTCCATGGTTTACTTAAGGCCCACACCTCCGTTCTCATGTAGGCCTATATCGTACATGTACGTCCGTACGATGCTAACGCGATGCTTTTAATTATCCATGTACGATGCTAACGCGCCAGGGTCATAGCTTGGAGGAACGTGTAGGAGAAAAGACATCAATGGTAATAGTATATATCAATACACCCTCAACACATCAAAAATTCAGTATAAATCAGCCAGACAGGCACAGAAGTGTAATATTTGGTCAAAACAAGAATCTTCTGTGGTTTGAGCGTACATTAAAATTTTGACAATGAAGTATTTTTGTTACACCCCAACTTAGTGTCAACTTGGATTCTTCATATGATCAGACGATTAAAAGTAAGGAGTCAAGACACAAAATACGTAAAGGTATGTTGAATTCAGATTTTTCAGGCTTCAAATTTTGGTGGAAGAGTTTTTCAGGATGACTTGACATGTAAAGTTAAAAGAAAAATAAAGACAATTTACCGCAAACTAACGCACCTGCAATGGTCATGTATCTGCATGTGCAGTGGGCATGTTTAAACTGAAGTGGCGTCACTCTTATGGACCGGATAATACATGTACTGTAGTAGTAGGGATTGGAGAGTTCTGGACCACACCCCCCTTTTCACCGTTTTCAGCAAAAACCCCTGGGTAGTACATCGGCTCAAAAAATCGAGGGAATCCCCTAAAAATCTGGAATTCCAGATTTTAACGGTTTTCCCTGGGTACCTCATCGACCCCAAAATCCAGCTCTAAAAATACCAGGTAAATATACACCTTCTGAGTCAAAACCCCTTTTCACCCACACGTGCTGGGGATTTCCACTTCATTGACCTTGAACTTTTGACCCCGGCGCACTTTTGTGTAAACAACTCGTGACTAGCGCTGATCGCACCAGCAATCACTCACAAACAAAAAAGGGACTTCCCGTCGATCTGAACTCGTGACCTCTACTTAAAGCATGGCTCTGTTCAAAGCAAAACACGCTATGTTTACAACCGCCTTAAATAAATGGCCTATTAATAAAAGATGACTGATGCAGAACTTTGTCACTTGCTGAATCTAAAGGAAGTACACATAGCAGGATCTCAAAAACAAAGTAAACCGATACCTCCTTGTAACCACCAAATACTCGAAATAGATGAAAGATACGCGTGTAAACATTGTGGTCTAATTTTTGGGTTTGCTTCGCCCACTTCTTTCACCCCCGCCGACATGGGAGACAGATACTACAGGCATCACGTTTGGAGGAAACCGCTGCCACCAAAATCGAGAAAAACCCTACAAAAATATAACATTTGTTTT